CACGCACGCGCACGCACGCAGGCCTTGTGTCGCACCATGCGTACTCGCTGATTGATGCAAAGGAGGTTGGCGGGTACGAGCTGGTGCAGCTGCGCAACCCCTGGTCCATTGGCGAGTGGACGGGACCTTGGAGCGACAAGAGCGATCTCTGGGAACGGTATGTCTCTTTGCTGCATTTGGTTGTGATGTTGGTGGTTTTGTGATGGTGGTCTGGTGTCGACATGCTCAAGCATGCATTCACATAGAAAGCCGCACTTGTACACCCACATGCTCACACACATGCTCACTCTGCCATATCCACGCCCGTCTTCATTCACACAACACACACACACATTTACACGACACGACACGACACGACACACACAACACGCACACATACGGTACACATGCGCGCTGTGCAGGCACCCGAATGTTGCGCGGCGCTGCAAGTATCACGAGCGGGATGAGTTTGACGGCACGTTCTGGATGTCGTTTTCCGACTTTTACTCGCGGTTTGATCGCATTGACGTGTGTGATCGCTCTGCCTTCCGCGATCTCCACCTCGACGTGCGTGAGGACCAGGGCTGTCCAGGCGTCGTCAAGGTGTGCTCTTCTTGATGTACTTGTTAACTTTGTTGCTGTTGCTGTTGTTGCTGCTGCTGTTGTTGTTGTTGTTGTTTAAGTTGTTGTTTAAGTTGAAGTTGTTGTTGTTTAAGTTGTTGTTGTTGTTGTTGTTTAAGTTGTTGTTGTTGTTGTTGTTGTTGTTGTTGTTGTTGTTGTTGTTGTTTTTGCATTCGCGTGCGTGTGCGTGTGGTATGCATGTTTGTGCATGTATGCCCAATTTGTGCATGTGTGTGTGTGTGTGTGTGTGGTTTCAACCAACCCACCCCCTCATTCACCCCCCCCCCCATTCACTCACCCACTCACCCATTCACCCATTCACTCACTCACCCTCCCTTCCAACCCACCACCCCTCCCCCAGGGCTGTGTGCACGGCTGCTCGACCTTCTGGTGCCTGTGCCGCGGGCTGCGGGTGCTGTACTTTGGCCACCGCACGAGCCGCGAGGTGGAGTACCATGCAGGCCCTTGCTCGTGCATGAAGGACACGGGCCGGTCCTGGACCGTCGATGACGTTGGAGCAGCCATGGTGTGATGGTCTTGACTTGTCGTCCAACATGGCGACGTATCTACATATATTTCGCCTTTTTCTTCCACCCCCACACATTCGCACGCTCTGTTTTCTGCGCAAACCCGTCATTCCCCCCCTCCCATACCCGCACGTGTGCATCTGCGACGCTAAGCACCAACCTCATTGGTTTTCTTTGCTTGCTTCTTTCTCTCCCTTTGTTGTAATGTGTGTGTCCCCTGTGTGTGTCCCCTTCATCAGCTGTCTATTGTGCCGCCCCCCCCCCCTGGTTTCACTCATTCAACACAGTGACATGACATGCTTTGAGAGATGGGGGAAGGAGACACCTGGCAGGCACTCGCCCAAAGCAATGCAGCAATGCTGCTGGTTCAAATTTGTGGCGGCAAATTCAAACGCGAAACGCCACGGCGCGCGCAGCAACGCTGCACGGTGCCTGCCAACCAACCAACGCACCAACGCACGATCGACAACACCTCGCATGCGCGCACAAGCACACCGCACAATGCACGGGGCTGTGAGCCTTGTTTGAGCCCCGGGCGTGCACACATGCACGGGTTTTGTGACGCGTTGAAAGGGTTTCCTGAGCGACGATGACCTGTTGTCGCCCACCTAACTGCGGTTTGTCGCGACTGGCACCGAGCAATGCCCTGGCAGCAGCGCGCCTGGCACGGCGATGGCAAGGACACACCGGCGACGCATGCTCCTGCCAACCAGGCCCTTGTGTTGACAACCGCCCAACACAAAACGTAGGCAACCCAACACAACCGCCAACAACGGCAGCAACCACCTCGCCAACAACAACAACAACAACTGCAACGACTGTAGCAACAACGGTGTGTCTCCCAAACGATGGCTGACCGTTTCTGTGGCACGCCTTGGCACAAGATTCAAACACAATCATGTTCTTCCACCACCACCACAACAACAACAACAACCACTAGGAGCGACAACCACAACAACACCCTCTCGGTGTCTGCCACATGCTCTCTCTTTTTCACGCTTGGTTGAGTGTCACACTACGCATCCCATTCCCTTGGACTCCAGCCGGCTTCCATGCACACAGCGCAACGCAGCCACCAGCATAGCCGTGGTTCATTTCTTCCCATTCCTCCCCCTGGCAAAGCACGACAACCGTTCCAGCAGGGAACACATACGCCGCCATTCAACACCCATGCCATTGACCGCAAACAAGCTGAGCAAGCAGCACAGGCACCCTCGCAGGATGGAGTCTGACATGCACGACGTCTCCCGTTGCGGCTGCTGGTCCTGCAGCCACACACAAGCGCAAACAACAACGGCAGCAGCGGCAGCAGCAGCAGCGCCGCCAACCACGACACCAGCAACAACTGTTCCTCTCCACCTCATCGCACAAACAGAGGAGCTCGTGAAGGTACAGCAGTGTCCACGTTGTGGCTGCTTGCTGGGAAAACGAACAACACGGCCTGCTGCCCCAACAGCCATGTTCATGTGCTCACATCTACTCATCCCACACACACACACACACACACACACACACACACACACACACATACACACACACACACACACACACATACACACACACACACACACACACACACACATACACACGCACACACACACACATACGTGTGCCCATCATGCCATCAATGCAGGGGCTGGAGTACAGTGACATTCGGCAGCGGTGCCACGCACTGGCACACCGAATCGCGGAGCTGACATCAGAGAACAACAGCAGCTGCGATGGCTGCCATCACATGCCACTACCATCATCGTCACCGGCCTCGCCGACTTCCCCGGCTTGGCAGCGCACCTGCCAGGCAACAGCGCCACGACAGCAACCACAACACGCAGATGACTTGGCCGAACTGCAGCGACAACACACGCTGCTCAAGGCCATGCTTGCCGCCAAGGCGGTGGCGGATGCACGCCAAGGTAAAGGCTGCCCCCTGCCGTCGCTCTTTGAGATGCGCTGTCAGGAACTGCAAGTGCTCGAGGCTGAACGAACTGCACTCCAGGTGTGTGTGTGTGTGTGTGTGTGTGTGTGTGTGTGTGTGCAAAAGTGCTACAAGTTTGTAAACTGTTCTGTGGGTGTGTTCAAAAGTGTGTGCGCCGCTGACGCCTGTTCTCACCGCTCCCAAGCCGCCCAAGCCGCCTCCTAACCGTCACGACTTTCTTGTTGCCGATTGATTTCTTGGTCTCTGCGACAACGCAGGACAAGCTTGTGGCGTTTGAGAGGCGCATGCTAACACACCGCGACCGGCTGCTGCTCACGGTCGACCAACACGAGTTGTGGGAGCGCAAGTACGCACGCTATCATGAGCTGCAACGCCGCTGCGCTGAGCTGCGATCACAGCTCCACGCCATCCACGACAGTGATTCCGGTGACCATGACGCCTCGCCATGGGCATAAGCTTCGGCTCTGTTGTGATGGCTGTTTTCCCGCTCGCTGTTGTTGGTGGAAGCCAAGCATCCAAGCGCCAAGGGACCACCCACTGCATGGATAGCAGTTTGCCATTGTGCGGTGTGCTTTCTCTGCTTGCCGACCTCCGTTGTGCATCTGGTGGCTGCCAATGTTAGAATGGTAGATATGGGATGTCTGTGTAATGTGTTGTAACTATTTCATTGTCTGCGTGCTGTGTTTGCAGAACTGGTTGACTGACTTGAATGACAAAGGGTGTGCATTGCGGGTGTCGCAATGTCAATCGTTAAGGCCACATAATCAGAAGACATTTAGCTCATACACGACATGTCTCTACCACATGAAGATGATGGAAAAACAATGCGAAAGGTGAAAAAGAAGAAAGGTTCCGTTACGGTGGCTGGCATGCCACCATACGCACAGGGTGAAACGAAAGAGAGACAGAGGGAGAACGCCAGGAAGAGGGAGGCATTGACGCACAACAAGCGCACACATTCATGTACGCACCAACACACAAGCGCAAACACACGCACGCACTCGTTCACACACACACATACACGCACGCGCACCCACAAACACCCACAAACACACACACACACACACACACACACACACACACACACAGACAGACAAGCTCAGAAGCTCATGGGAACGTATCTTGATCGGAGGGAGAAAGAACGCGGCGCACGTTCTCGACACCGCCCAGCGTTGTTGGAGTTTGGCGCTTGAATTGCACCGTGTCAATGTCGGGGCCAAGCGGTGGCAGCGCCTTCAAGCGGGTACAGGCATCGAAGATGACACGCTGCACGTTGCTAACGCTCCCGCACCGCAACTCGTTGACATACGTAAACGTGAGCGTGTGAATGTGCTGAATCACACCCACGGCTGCAGGCGCGTCCCAGATGGCCGCCTTGTGCGCATCCGCCAGCCGATCCACGGTCAAGCCGGCGCACCCACGAATCAACACCTCAGACACGTCTTCAATGCGCTCGCACTTGCCCACGCACTTGACCAGCTTCACCTTCTTCAAGTGGCGCAGGGAGCACGCGGACCCAACATCCACATTGCTGAGGCTGAGCGACTGCAGGTGTGACAGCACACCCAGGTCGGGGAGGAGCGGAAGCGTGGTGCGCCCAAACGAGCACGAAATCGTGACATCACGCGCGCGTGGCATCAGCGCAAATGACGAGGGCAAGACATCGCCTCTGAGCACCAACTTCTGCAGCTGTGGGAGCTCAAAGGGCGGAAACGGCGTGTCGTGGAGCTTGAGGCTGCGTAGGTGCTTCAAGTCCTGTTGCCGGCGCTTGAACCGCGAAGATAACGCCGGCTCCTGCTCTGTGCTGTGCACATGCAGTGCGACCCCGCCATCAGCAATGCCATCGCCATCGTTGTCACCGGTGGCAACATCAACGGCATGCGCGGTGCTGCCACTGTCGTTGGCGTGGTTCCCTGATGCATCATCCTGGTCAAGGTAGCAGCAGGACGGGACGCTCGCAAGCGAGAGGTCCCACACGCGCGGCATGTGCGGGAGGCGTCGCAGATGCTGGATGCTTCCAATGTGTACACTTCGGGCAAACGTGAGCGGCAAGGTCTGTGCAGTAGTCTTGGTGAGGTTGAGCTCGTTGCAGCCGGTGACAGTGATGTGCGTTGCGTTGGCAACAGGCGCGAGATCCGTGATGGCGAGGCTGCGAAGCTCCACGCGTTGAAGCGTGGCGGGAGCGAGTTGGGGCAGCATCGTCAGCTGTAGGCACGAGGTCAGCTGCAGCTCCGTGACTGGGCCGGAAGTTTGCATCAGCATGCCAGTGACGTGGGGACAGTACTGCAGCTTCAGGGATGTCGCTGAAGGCAATGTCACGATGCCGCTCAGGCTGTCGTTGTGTGAGACCTCGACGGTGGTTGCTGCAGCTAATGGGCGGGTGTCGGCAAAGCCGTCACATGCGTGCAGGCACACACTCGCTGCATTCGCTAACGGTGCGAGGTTGGGCACATGCAGGTGCGACAGCTCCACCGTCTGCGTTGCGTGTGCCAGTGGCATCAAGTCGGCGCTGCAGCTGTCTTGCATAACAGAGAAGGTGACTGAGGGAATGCCCTCCAAGCCGGTCAGATCGATGGGCGAGTCAACGTCGTCACCGTATAGCTCAACGGCAAACGTGTCCACGTTGTGGCATCCAAGGATGCGCCCGATTCTGTCGAGCTGAGAGAGGGAAATGACGTTGATGTCGGCAAACGGGCCCAGTCTTGTTGCGCTCTGGGCGATGATGGAGAGCGAGTCGACATGGCACAGCGGAGGAATGGAGGCAGCATTTGTTGTACATTCGAGCCTTGACAAGCGAGGCAGGCCAGCGTTGCGGCGCTGCTCCAGAGCACGCGAGAGAAGCAACCACTGTTCATCTTCCAGTTGAGCTTCGAGGGAGTGAAGCTGAAGCGCATGCGCAGAGAGACACTGCTGCAGAAGGCCCTCGATGCTCTCTTGAAGAAGGGGATGGTGCGGATCACACTTAATGTCCAGGGCGCACGTTGGCGGGTGCTTGTGGAAGGGCTCCAAATGTGCCGGTGGCACCTGCTTGGGGCTAGCCACAATGCGCAGGCGATAGCACCGCCCAAATGGCGCATGATACGGGTCCCTGCTGACGTGCCACTGCAGCATGACGCATCGACCGAACCGCTCGCCACTGGCTGCTGCAGCCAGATCACGCACGCTGCCGGCATCCCAGTGAGCTCCAAGCCAAGAATAGACGAAGAAGCGCTCAAGGTTGAACTCAAGGAGAAGAATGTCTGGATCACCGCCTGCAGCAACCGCGGGCGTGTGCTGTCTGCTGGTGGTGGTTGTGTCGTGGATCGGAGGCGCAGCAGATCCAGCCTGCATTGGCCTGTCCCAGCTAAACTGTTTCAGAGTGCAATTGAGCTGTCGTTCCAGGGCATGCTTTGGCAGGAGCCAGGGCAGGTCGTGAAACAGCACCCTGCACACGGACATGAGAGCAGCGAGGCTGCTCGCATCCAAGTGCTGCGCCACAAACGCCCAGTGGTGCACGTCCATTGCGTTTTGGTCGGTTGCTCTTGTGTTTGTAGGCCAGAAGGACAGGTTGTGGGCTAGAAAAAGGACAACACCATGTGCTGTGCTGCGTGTGTGTGTGTGTGTGTGTGTGTGTGTGTGTGTGTGTGTGTGTGTGTGTGTGTGTGTGTGTGTGTGTGTGTGTGCTGTGTGTGTGTGTGCTCCGTCTCTGTGTCTGCGCGGTGGAAAGGGGAAGGATGGAAGGCGACACACGCGTGCCGTGAGGTGCTGTCACAGGCAATCACATCACTCAAAGCAAACACACAAACAATGGAGGCATTACTCTGCCTGAGTGGTCTCACGGTCTCACCCTTGCGTTCATTCCTCGCCGTGTACTGTGACTTGGTCACAGCCATTGAAAACACCCCACGCAACAGAACCACATGAAATAAACCAATGATGGTGAAGCAGCACCGCGACACCCGCATACACATAGCGGGGTGACAAAGCGATGGTTGAAATCAACATAAAACGACGACACAGTACAACGCAACGTGCTGTTGTGTGTGAGAAACACCACATGAGCACGCACCAAGAGTAAACCAACGCACAACCAACAGACAACACAAAGCACACAACCAAGGGCAACGCATCGTCATCATCATCATCGTCATCATCATCATCGTCATCATCATCATCGTCATCGTCATCATCATCATCGTCATCGTCATCATCATCGTCATCATCATCATCGCGACCCTCATGCAACTCAGAAGTAGAGGCGACGCACGCGGCGGTTTTGCTGATCCACAAACACGACGGCCTGTTCGCCGACATCGTAGGCAACACTGACAGGAGTGTCCATGGGAGCATCAGCAGCGGTCCTGCTGTTGTTGTCAGCCACGTAGCCGCTCTTGCCGGTGCCAGCCACAACGGACACGGGAGCACCATCGCTGCTGAGCTGCACCAGCCTCAGCACATGGGCAGTCGTGTCGGCAATCACCAGCTGGTCGCCGTCCTCGCTCACAGCGACACCCTCTGGCCGGTTGAGCTTGGCCTCCAGCGCAGGCACGCTTGAACTTCCAACAACATCGCTGGCACCGGAGAGGCCGGACCCAGCGATGGTGTCAATCACGCCGGAGTCAAGGTCCACCAGGCGAATGCGGTTGTTGTCCGTGTCGGCAATGTACAGCCGGTTGCTGCTTGCCGACAGCGCAAGCGCCGTGGGCCCGTTGAGAAATCCCAACACCGCGGGGCCATTGTCACCACGATAGCCGCGTTGGTTCGGGGTGCCAGCATAGACGTTGATGCTGAGCGTGCGCAGGTCCACGCTGTACACAACGTGGTTCTCAGCGTCTGCGACATAGAGCACCTTCGCGTCGTTGTCGACGGCGAGCCCGCGCGGGGTGTGAATGTCCGCTGCGCGGCTGGATCCGCCCATGCCACGGTGCCCGCTGTGTCCCGTACCCACCAGCACAGACAGATCGCCGCTTGTTGCATCGACGACGCTCACGCGATGGCTGCCCTCCTCGGAGATGTACACATTGCCAGCAGCATCGAGCGCCACGCATGTTGGGCGGTTCAGCTGCGCGCTTGCAGCAGCACCGCCAACGCCACTGTCACCAGCAGTCCCGGTGCCAGCGACGGTGGTGATGGCGCCGTCACCGCGTGCAATGCGGACCACGCGGTGGCCCGTGCGCAGAGCAACGTACATGTTGCCGCTGCCGTCAACGGCAACGCACTCGGCCTGGTTGAGGCCCGTCTGCGTCGGCTGCGATGACCCCGTCCACGCCGTCTTGCCGTTGCCAGCGACGGTCTTGATCGTATTGGAGGTGCCGGTGACGGCGACCTGGGAGCCGGTCGTGGCCGCGGCCACGCTGCGTGTCCCAGATTCTGTGCACAAGCACACCTACAGGTGGGGATTATGCATATTCCAACAGCAAACACACACACACACACACAAACACAAACACACACACACACACACGTGAGATCGCGTTGGGCAGCAGACTCGCAACAAGTACGTGCACACTCCAGACATTTGGAGAGAGCAAAACGGCCATCTTGTTTGACAAAAGAAGAGTGAACACACACGCACGCACGTGCACCCCAGATGTACAGACAACAAACGCCGCTCTTGCATGCAGCGTAATCACAATCACTGATGGCCACAGCCATGTGTCAGTGTTATGGCACGCCACATGTCATACAACGTGAAAAAGGCACGCATGTCCTTCGAACCACATGCACACACATACACACAACCATTGGGTTTTCGTACGTTTCGGCAGCCGCCGTGTTTCGGGTAGTGGGTGCCTTGAAGTCCTCCCAGAGAAGCGCAGTGAGCCGTGCATTGTTCTTGATCACCCTTGATGGCGTACTGCTTCCGGCAGCCGCATGTGCACACCTGTTGGTTGTGTTGTGGTGAGGCATCATGAGGTATCAAAGCAAGTGCATCATGCATGCATAGGCTGTGCCACGATCAAGTGCAATGCTGAGCCAATTTCTTGCTTGCATGCGCAAAGAAACACCACAAGCCAGCGACAACACACAATCACATACGTGTGTGCAGCCCTCGTAGTAGCGGAAGAAGGTGGAGTCCTGGTTATTTTGGTTGCAGCGCGTACGACAGGCGGAAGCGTCCTTGGCGCGGCGCAATCCAGTGCAGGGGTTGGTGGTTGTCGGCTCGCTCGTCGTCACAATACCTGACTCAGATGTTGAAAGCAAGTCAGCGCATGAGCAAGTGCATCGCCGCCGCATGACAACAACCACAACCACAACCACAACCACAACCACAACCACAACAACAACAACCACAACGACAAACGGAGCAGCAGGAGGCTGCTTTCGTTCTGTTTCACAGCCGTAACAAAAACTCACGCTCGCATGTCTTTGGGGTGCCTGACCACTCTGCACGGCCATCCTGGATGGTGCACGTGCGCGTCCCAGTCCCAGTCGATGACAGCTCGTAGCCGTTGTCACAACCCTTGTAGGTACATGTGTCATCTGTCAAGGAAGTAAGGGCGCACGCAGTGACGTATCATCGACAGTGAACAGACACGCATACGTGAGAAAGAAGCAATCAGAAACCCATCGAGGCAAACAGGAGTCCCTCGCTCAAACCAAGTGCCTGGATAGGCACAGAGGCACGGAGGATACAAGGGATGCTTGCTGCGAATCAGGTGCCTTTGGCTTTGTTTCAACAATCACTCAAATGCGCCACACCTCAGACTGCACGCACCTTTCCGACCCTTGCATTTGCCCGAGATTGATCCGTTCTCGAGCGTGAGCTCCCCACAAGAAAGTCCTTACGTGAAGAGCGAGTAAAATCAAGTGAGCGATTAACGTGTGAGGGCGTCAATGACAGCATCACCACAGGAAGCATGTGAGCAGCTGCAACAGCAACGCACGAGCGCAAATGTGTGTGCCTAACACATGCTGACTTACGACGACACGTCTTTGAGCCTGATGCATAGTAGCCATCGTGCTCTCGGCATTGTACCTGAACGGCAGACAAGAACAGCAAGAAGGAAATTGGTTACACGCTGAGCATGATAATACCAATACCCAAACACGGCATGTGGTGCGGGGTGACCACGGTTCCACGTTATAGCGGCCACGTGCGTATAACGACACAAATACGCCCAGGTTGCCCTGCAACTATGCATGCACCGCGTATCCAAGAGGACGCACCCTCCACCACCACCTTCATCTCAAACATCATGCATCTCAGTCCACTCACGTCGCAAACACGAGCGCGCGGCGTCGCGGACCTCGAGTTGTACATGCCTGCAGCCAAGGCACACAGGGTTCATGCTGAGACAAAGAGCACACCATGCATTTGCTGTGTCCTTGCGGTGTGCTCTCAAGCCATTTTGTGTAGCTGCACAACAAGTGCACACACTCAAAGCAGCATGGATTGTTCGCCATATTGTGTGGAGCCAATTCGATTCAGCAGCAATGCCCTTCCTTACCTGCAATCACCGAACCCTCCGGTGCAACAACGCTGTAGCTGCCAGATAGTGTTCCTCCAAGGCGACAGTTTGTGAGCGTCACACCAATGAGAAGGCTGCACTCGTACTCAAAAGACGCGCCTGCCTTGGACACGGCGCTCGTTGCTGCATGCGCAGACGCATTTAATTGAACAGGATGCACACAGCACGTGAGCGGCAGGCTGCAGGGATTACGGATGACGAGGTGTGCAAGCTCAAACAGCGCGTAAGGTCGGGCCCATGCTGTGAATCATGCACCACGCAAGGGGGAATGCAACCACGGGACATACCGTAGGTGTTGAAGTCGCAGTACCTCGAATACGTCCCACTGATAAACTGCTCTTCCGGAACAGTGAAGATGCGCTGGTCGTGGTCATCCCCAACATCCTCGCACACGTACGCGTACTCGTTGGAGGCTGTTGGCGTTTGGTCGAACACAACGACCAAGCGCAAGCCAAGCGGTGTGATGTCGCCACACGCAAGCGAGAGTGTTTGTGGTGTGCGTGGTGTGTGTATGCGTGGGTGAGTGAGTGAGATGGTGCATGGGCTGGCTTTCCTCACTCGATGTGTCAACACCATGTACACAGCAAGACACTGTCACATGCATGCGCAAATGCGAAGATCTCTATGCTTCCAACGCACACACCCCCGCTATCAACACACCAGCAGTGTAGTACATGGCGGTGAACGCCTGGCCAGGAGCACAGGTGACCTTGAAATCACTCGCTCCGCTGCGCTCAATCACCTCTGATGGCGATAAAACAGAGCATGTGCGGTGAGCGGGTAGAGGTCAGGTGTACAGCATGGGTGACGCATTGTATGGGGAAGCACAACATGTCACATACGGAAACCAGAACCACGGTGTGACAGATGTGAATGTTATGTCACGCACCGACGCAGGTCTTTTCTGCTCCGCTCCAGTATGCATTGGCGCCGTTCTGCTGGCAAGTGCGCACACTCGTTCCTCCAGCACCAAAACGAAAGCCGTCGTTACAGCTCGAATAGCGGCATTGGTCACCTGCAGTTGTGAACGAATGGTACACAAACAGCCACGATGAACAGAGGAAGAAGCAACTTCTTGTTGGACCACGAGTGGGCAAACAGGGCGTCCAATGTAAGGCTCTAAAGCGACGACAATGTCATGTTGTTTGCTTGTTTCTTATCTTCAACTCACCAACTCTGCCGCTGCAGGAACCGCTGGTGGAACCCTGATTCAGCGACAAAGCAGGGCAACGCACCTCTGTCACACGACAATGGTGACCAAACATGTAAGTGAGCACGTGTAATGCAAGCAGGACGGGGGTTGTGTGTGTGTGCGCGCGCGCGCGCGCGCGCGTGTGTGTGTGTGTGTGTGTGTGTGTGTGTGTGTGTGTGTGTGTGTGTGTGTGTGTGTGTGTGTGTGTGTGTGTGTGTGTGTGTGTGTGTGTGTGTGTGAGTTGTGTGTTCGAACTGCGATTCAGCTTCAAAGCTTGGTTTGAACAACAACACCGATGTGGGTGCTCCATCCAGTGTTGGGGTTGTTGTGTGGTCTCTTGCCGCAATGCGAAGGCGTACACGCATACCGCAAGACGACACAACACACCTTTGCACGTGGCAAACTTTGCGTTCCAGGCGGCAGAGTGACCGGACGAATCAAGGACACACGTCGCAGACGTGCTGCCCTCGGATGAAGGCCAATAGCCGGTGTTGCACTGCAGCGTACATTGACCGCCTAGCACCAACCCCATCAATCATACGGTTAGTGCAGACGTGTCCAAACCAGGCATCATGCATACTACATCTTGTCTCTCACAAAAAAGCGAAAGTCCACCCGCACGCTTGCAGACACACAAACACAGACACACACATGCTGCGTTACATCATCTGATTCCTGCACGCGTCCTATACACACACGCGCACATCGGGATTGATCATACGTCACGTACCGACGGTGCCGTCGCAGAGGCCGCTGCCTTGTCCGTTGGTGAAGTGGACCGCGTTGCATGTCACGACTGCAATTCACGGTGGGTGGTGCGATACGCAGATGGATGGCTGTGAGTCCTCGGTACCTACATCATGCGAAAAGGCGAAGCGTATTTCATCATGGTGTCACGCTTACCTTCACATGTCCTTGCTGGGCAGGCGGTACTTGGCCCCTGCTTCCACTGAGACACGCCGCCAATCTCGCCACAGTTGCACGTGGTTGCACCGCCAGTAGCAAAGCGGTATCCGCGGTTGCATTCCTCAAGCGCGCAGACGTCGCCTGGGCAGATTTGCATGGCATGCGCCCCAGTGCCATCAATGGTGTTGTTAGCCAGAGACAAGCACAGTGAGAAGGAATGCTTAAGCTGCATCTCGAGGTCACACCAAACCAAAACAAGCAGGTGCGTTGTCGATTGAGTCCTCATCACTGACCAAAGTTTCCGCCGCAACTGCCTGACCTGAGACCGTTCGCAAGGCTCAACTGTCCACATTTGATGGCTAACATCCGTTTTGGCATGAAGCGATCGTATATCGGAACAAGCGCGTGTCAAGATGCGGAGGCAACGTGTGCGTGCGTGTATGTGTATGTGTGCGTGTGTTTGTGTGTGTATGTGTGTGGGGTGGGGCTGATTGTGCAGGCGTGTGCACACTCACGTATGCAGTGTTAGTCATGTCCAAGACACACCGGTAACACACACACACACACAGATGCATCTGTAACCACAATCAATGATGTACCAAAGAACGCACGTTGTAGGACATGCGGCACGACTTACGTTGACACGAGTAGGCAGAGCCAGTCCATGCCGCGGATACATACCCCTGGCTGTCTGTGGATTGCTTGCACTCACGCACACCAACACCAACCTCGCTCCTTGGGCTCAGCACCGCCCCCTCATTGCACTGGAAAACACATCTATCGTCTTCAACCCCAAGGGAGCCATGTGATAATGAGTGGGAATACAGAACGTCAACTATCACCACAAGAATCATGTCCAGCATGTCTGGCTTCACACCACAGCCACAAGGAACACCAACCACAAACGAACACATGCACACAGCGAAGCAATGCAAGCATCGCGTTCACAACAAAGCATCACACTCGTACACCGGCACACATTCACACACAAAACAAAAAGAGCAACACAACAAACGGAAATACAGGAAGGGTGTCTGTCCTTACTTAGGTTGCCAGTACATTCGCCAGAGAGGTAGCCACCGCTGATGCTGGTGATTGCAGGGCACTCGAGCTCTGCTCGTTCGCACATCCACAACACACCAAGGACCGTGAGAGAAACGGCAACAGGCAGCCTTGTGACACCAAAGTGATCATGAACGGGCCTTCCAACAATCGTCATGGTATTGCGTGGCACCCGTTGCAGAGCAACGCGCTTGCTGTGCATGTGCGCACGTACGTGCGGTTGTTCGCCGCTGTACATTTTTCTGTGCATGTGTGTGTGTGTGCTTACTTTCACAGTAGGGCGCTGAGCCTGTCCAACCGTTCGCGGTACATTCACGTGTGGTCGTTGAGCCGCGCATGGCGTAACCGGAAGGGCAGTAGCTGTAAGTACACCGATCGCCTGTGCGTACATGCGTGTGGGATTGTACATGTGTGAGTGTGAGTGTTAGTGTCCCCGCGTAGCAGAGTAGGCTGACTGATGCGCATTACACACGAGGCAAAGACACAAGATCAGAACGCTTATGTACATGAACAACAAGCATCTGCAACTGTGACGCAATAAGACATGCAAGAGGAACACAAACACAAAAAGACAATGGCTGTGATGTGATGCAACACAGACCAAAGTCGCCGCCACAGCTGCCCGTCATTGTTATCTGTGAGTGTGTCAGGCTCCCACAAGTGATACCTAGGCATATGGCACACGAGTGACATGGACGAGAAGCATTGTTAGGAGTACAGACACAGACGTCAGGCCTGTCCGCATCGATCATCGTGAGCTGCATTCATGACTGGTGCACACTGCGCTGTCATTCGATCAAAGAAGTGACATACGCTCGCATGATGTCGTTGATCCCGTCCAGACGCCGTTGGATTGACAGGTGCGGCTTGTGCTGCCCTCGAGACGATAGCCAGTGTAGCATGAGAAGCTGCACAAACCCCCTACATGTATAAAACCGCAAGCACAATATCGACAATCAACCTGCGAGCAAGCGTGTGGCAAGAAAGGGGTCATGGTCGCCAAAGCAGACGAGAGCTGTGGCATGCAGATTCCAAAGCCACAAGCACAGCCAATCAAATACCCATCGCGCCGTTGCAAGTGCCTGTTGCTGACCCGGACGCCAACGTGAGCGGGGGACAAACAATTGCTAGACGGAGAATATGAAACACGGGTATGGAAGTAATAAAAGGAGCGTGTGAGTGTGTGCTCATTATAGATGACGAGAGATGGCCACCGAAAAGATAGTGTGTGTGTATTCAGTATGTGAGGGCCTGTCCTCACACACAAACACAGGAAAAGGCATACAAGGACAGCATCTACGCCGTTGTCGCAGCTCAAGTTGAACTGCCCAAGACAACCATCACACATGCAAGGCATCGTGTATGACAACAAAGAGGCATGGACAAGCATACGAACCACGACACACGCCGTCAACTGCCTGTGTGCCGGGTGCACAATCCAGGCGGCAAGCTGTGAACCGAAACACTCGGTCTCTGCTCCACGATGAGAAATACGAAGTCAACCCTACACATGTACGCGTGCGCGTGCATCGTACATTAATGTTGTGGGTGTATGTGTTGTGGGTATGTGAGTATGTGCGTCAGTGTGTATGCAGTGCTGCTGCTGCTGCTGCTGTTATTGTTGTTGTTGTTATTGTAGTAGTAGTAGTAGTAGTAGTAGTAGTAGTAGTAGTAGTAGTAGTAGTAGTAGTAGTAGTAGTAGTAGTAGTAGTAGTAGTAGTAGTAGTAGTAGTAGTAGTAGTAGTAGTAGTAGTAGTAGTAGTAGTAGTAGTAGTAGTAGTAGTAGTAGTAGTAGTAGTAGTAGTAGTAGTAGTAGTAGTAGTAGTAGTAGTAGTAGTAGTAGTAGTAGTAGTTGTTGTTGTTGTAGTAGTTGTTGTAGTAGTTGTCGTTGATCCCATTTCCACACAGACACGATCTTGTGCAGAATACAAACAGGACAGCACAACACACACACACACACAAAATTGCGTATCCTGCTCCCTTCTCCACCGTTGTCTTCAAGGGGCTGGACAAGCATGACATGTCTTGCCGTACCGGTGACAACATAGATGTTTGACGAGGCAAACCTCAGAGCGCCATCGTAGCTGTTGGAAGACGATGTGTAGCACGAGGTTGACACCCGCGTGTCTGCAGAACTCGAGCACTGGAAGGACATGACACGATCCAAGTTGCCAACCACATAGGCAGACCGCATGCCCGTCAAGACTGGCCGGTGTGCAGGAGCGAGCGAGCGCGCGCGCGCGTGTGTGTGTGTGTGTGTGTGTGTGTGTGTGTGGAGGGAGTAAGAGTAAGATGAGGAGAAGATCAGATGAAGCATCGTGTAATCTCAAGAGCTTCGTGCTGAAGGTGAATGTGGACGCGCAAATCCACACATTGAGGGAGACCAACGAACACCACTGTACAGAATAATCAGAGCGAATTGGTTTGGCAATCAGGCAAAACGCGGCCTTACATGAGTTGGATGGACACGTGAAGGACACGGTTGAAGATAGCTGGCCGTATGTGGGTGCTGACCAGCTTTGCCGAGACAACTGCGCGCCCCGTGTCCTTGGCACTTGACAGGCAAAATACCAGCGCCGGTCCTCTTGTGTCTGTGTGACATGGGGTAGCATTGCACGGACACGCACGAAGGAACCAAGACACTCGTGAGAGATGACAGGTGCTGACATGCTGGCAAGAAGAGCAAGGCGTGACAAGCGAGCAATACAGTGGCCATGTGACTGGCTGGCGACCATACAGACGTTGTCATGGTAAGAGTTGAGACTGATGAGCGCCATGTTATCTGGGCACTGGACGGAGAATGGCTGTCTGAAGTTGTTCACGTAGACATTGTTCGAGATTGAAGTTGTCGGCAAGGCTGTTACGGTACAGCAGAATGGATTCAGCAAACAAAGCATCCATGCAACGATTCGGTGTGAGCAGGTATTGAATGGGTAGCAGAGCAAAGCGAGGGGAAAGAGGATGTGTGTTTGTGTGTATGCATGTGTGTGGGATGACGCCTGATAAAAAATACACTCGCAGAAGCACCACCACCACCACCACAACCACATGACCACACGGTGGTTACGTACAGTCACACTGTCGAGTGCCGGCCCTGTTGACGTAGTTGTTGCCTAAGTCACACTCAACGTCACAGTACCGCACACGCCAGCGTCGGTCCTCATTGCTGCAGAGTCACATTTAAGACGCACGTGAAGGGTTGTTTAGATGTTGGAAGCGCGTTCGTGCATGCGTGCGTGTATGCGAAGTGAATTTGTGATGGGGTGGATGGAGCGTGCTCATCACGGATACATGCACGTATGCGCGGTCTTGCATCCACACATGATGCACAAGACGTACTGGTTGCTGTGGTAACTCGCAAGTCCTGAAGTTGAAGCATTTGGGGAGGTATACGCATTCAGCACACAACACAAACAGTCATTGAGTGGATATGGTACATGTGATGAATGAAATTCATGCCGAGGGTTACGATGTGGTTGGTTTGTACACGCAAGACATGACACCCCACTGACATACGCACGGAACGCAAATGCTTTCGCCTCCCTCCCTGTACCTGTGATAATGCGGTTACTGCTGACAGTGTAACTTAGGTAAGCATCAAAGTCATTCAAGTACCCTGGATTCAACAAGGCGGAATAGATGCAGATGAGGAAACGAGGAGATCAACTGAATTTCAAGGTGGAACTAACTTCCGGCCTCACCCTTCCATTTCTCTCGACAAAAGTAGCGAGTAGGGGTTTGTTAGTGGGTGTATGTAGGTGTGTGTGCATGTGTTTGCGTGCATGTGTGTGCCTCTTCCTCCTCATTCTCATCCTCATGCTCATCCTCCTCCTCCTCCTCCTCCTCCTCCTCCTCCTCAACGAGACTACATTCCACACACAACTTGACAGGCATTTTCGTTCGTCTTCACCACCACATACCGGTGATGCCGCAATTCAGGAGCTTGACATCCCTACCGCGCCGACAACCGTACACCCAAACTCGATCTGCGTGCAAGGGCGCCCAACAGGAGCGGTAAATGAGCAATGCGCAAAGGACAGCGACACGCGCGTCGGAACAGGCAGTTATCGACTGATCGATCGCAAGAACAACATAAGAGCACACCTTCTTTTGAGTTGCTGTGCACACTCTGCAGTCGTTCCAGGTCTAAATGCGCGTATGTGTGAGGAGGGTGGGGTGGCGTGTTAAGGCGTGCTGTGAAAATGTGTTGTTGTGAAGTAAGGACCGCGTGCAAGAGGGGGGGGGGCAGAAGCTTCGGTGTACACATGTTCCTTGTGCCGAAGGTCTCGAGCCTTGGCCGATACAACGAAATCAGGGCATCACACACGAAAAGGACAAGTTGGGTCCAAAGCCGGAGCAGAGGCACAACACGGTAACGCCTCACAGTAATCTGTTGCACAGCTCATGTCGATGGGTCGATCATATTCGGCGTAGTCGTAAAAGCCGCTGCTGGTAGTGGATGAGGAGTAGCCCGTGCCCACACTTGCACACGAGAAAGACCAGCGGCGATCCTCCCTGCAATGAAACATAGACCGTGAGGATGCAAGCTTGTTCTTGGTTGGAAGCGTGGTCATTGACATTGACTTGCTGTGCGTGACACAACCCAAGAAGCCAAGAATGGCAAGAAGAAAACTCCGACATGACCGACAAACGCCCGCTCAGCAGAATATGTACACATGTAAGGCCAGCTCCTATGATTACTAGACAACTATGGGACCTGTTGTTGCTGTGGTAGCTGGATACGTAGCTCAAGCCACACCCTGCCGAGCACTGATAGTACAGACTGCCATCCCAATTGTTAACTTGTCCGACAGCCACATGCAAACGAGAGCTGGTGATGGCAAACAGGAGCAACGCCAACATGGCTCGCCGCTGAGCACAGGCCATACTTCACCGCTCGTACACAGACGGGGTGAGGGCAGGGGTGTGAGCGAGACAGAGAGAGAGAGAGAAGAAGAAGAAGAAGAAAGAAGGAGAGAGAAGGAGAAGGAGAGAGAGCTCAAACAACAGAGATCGGTGTCAACAATGGTGTTTGTGGTGAAGCGATCAGGTTGCTGTCATAGGCTCTTCTGCTTGTCGACGAACGTTTGTGAATGGCTTCCAAGAAATCCGTTGGGCCTATGAGTACAACGCACTTTCTCTTTGTTGTTTGAAAGATGAAGAAGATCACACAGCAACAACAGCAACAACCACATCAAACGATCGCACAGAATTGGTGGTGCTTATTAGTTCGACGCACTTTGCTCCCTCCTTTCTTCTCTTCCCCTCGTAAGAACTCGTGAAAGTGCGAACACACACCTGCGCAAGCACCCGCAGACTACGAAGGCAATTGTCATGCCTTCCGTGCCCCGACCACAGCGGGTGCTGCTGCTCGCAACTGGGTTGGCCCTCGCACAAGTTTGCGTCTCACACGCGTGGTACAACAACTTTGATGCATCGCTCGACATGTCTTGCTCGAGTGGTGGGATGTCGCGCATCCAATCATACCACTCAAACCACAACGAAGATCGGCGTTGGACACGCTCTTGCGTGACATACGGCATTTCAAGCTACGGATCCACTACGTTCTCCTCCAACTATGTCAACAACTTTGATGCGGACGTCAACTTCGAGTGTGACACCAACTACTGTACGTCCTTCTTGCGTGTGTGTTGTGTGTGCGTGTGTTGCGTGTGTTGATGTATGTGTGTTGTGGGTGTCGATGTGTGTTTGTGGGTGTGCTTACAGTCGTGCCGTCAACATGTGTGTAGTCTACACGAAAGTGAGATCGACATTTCACCCGGGGGAAAACCAACGCAGCGGCTCGCCACATCGACGGATCGATTTCCCAAACTCACCACTGACACCACTGTCGTATCTCTGCCATCCATCACAACCACCATGACGCCTCAAATCATCAAACAAATCTGTTCCATGATGTGCCGTGCTTCCGTGTAGATCTGTATCGAATGGCCAGCTACCACAGCAACCACAAGTAAGACCAGCAGCACAGTTAGATTTGTTCACGTGGTTTGCGTGTGTGCCCTGCACACACCAAGCACTCCTTGCACATCCCCGTCTTCCTGCCGCCTGTGACTTGAGTTGATGACCATTGCGTGCGCTGCTGTGTGCCATTGTTAGCGAGGACCGACGCTGGAAGTTTGGATGCCGCCGAATCAGCGGAGCAACGCTGACGTCTTGCTCGTTGTCGACAAGCTACGACAACAACTATGACGATGCCGTCGACATTCAAGTCAGCTCGCGCAGAGCCATCACAGGTGGACATGTGCATCCCTGTTTCGATGAACATGCTTTGCTCTTCAGCGCACTGCTCCATTCAATTCTTCAAACGCTTGCTGCCAGGTACCATGCCATGTCTACTGCAATCATGTTCTCAGGATGTTGTCTGGTTTCATACCCTGTGCTTGCTTCTTTATCACAGGCCTGTCCTCCGTTCACAGCAACCACAACGAGGACCGGCGGTGGCGTGTCAGGACCTGCGAGATTGACTGTACGGAGAGCAGTGGCTATGTCAACGACGGCACCTACGGTTGTCGACGTAAGCCAGCAAAGCGCAATCATGTGCATGTGCATGTGCGTGTTGTGTGTGTGTGTGTGTGTGAGTGCACGCGTGTGTGCGTATGCGCAAAGCGTTAGGCGTACAGTCGGTGTGACTTGAACGACAACCTCTGCTGTTATGCACGGCTATGTTGTCAGTGCCTTACTCGACGTCAAACCTGCTCCGTGCACATGACGTGTGCGAGATAACGTCCACCTTCTGCGTTACATCTTTGCTTTGCTTGCTACGTAGGTGTGACCTGCGGCTCTCTGACACTTGCGCACGGCCAACTGGAAGGCGACTGCGGTGGCACCTTTGGTTCGTTCACAAACACCACGTGGCATTGCCGTGTTTACAAGAGGGGCAAGCACCTAATCTGACGGTCACATCGTAGATCACCTTGAACACCTTGTGGCACACATACAACGGCACATGTCGTGTACACGACACTTGCACATGCAGATGAGTAACAACACATGCGCGAACACACCTGAATGCACACACGCACACACATCCATGCACGCACTCGCACTCGCATGTTTGTGTTCATACTCCCGCACGTCACCATATGATTGCTTTCAAACCACAGGAAATCAGTGCAGCTTCAAGTCGTGTGATGAAGGTTATCAGGTGTCTGCATCGGGCACTAAGGACGCGCGCGAGTGTCGCGTTGTCAACGGCCAGGGCGTCTGGAGTGGATCCGCGCCAACCTGTGAAGGTGCGTGCTTGTGCTCGATCTTGTGCATGGGTGTGGTGGAGTAGTGCTTTTGTGCCTGCATTTGTTCGGTGCGTGCACGTGTGTCAACGAGGCTTGTGCAAAGTCTCCCCCAGCATGCATCTCCGGCCCCCGTGTGGCGTCCGGCCTTGTACACGCACACTCACTCCCTCACACACACACACACACACACACACACACACACACACACACACACACACACACACACACACACACGCACACACACACACACACGCACACACACACACACACATACTCACTCACTCCCTCCGCCCTATCTGAACTTCACGCCGACACAACGACACTCGTGTTTCATGCTGACAAATGCTCATTGCAGATGTGAATGAATGCTCCAGTGGACAGCATGACTGCGTTGCTCCTGCAGTTTGTGTCAACGACGCCGGTGGCTATCGCTGCAACTGCCCTTACGGCCCTCTCACCTCAAATGGCCGAGGGTGCGACTGTACGTAGCTCAGCATAGCGATGTCGCAGAAATGCAAGTGCATTGCATGGATGATGTGCACCTGCATGTGGTTGCAAACAGACGTGCCAATGGTTGATTGGAATTGCACTGTGCGTAGCCGTAGAAATGAATGAATACCTGGATGTTGTCAGTTGTGTGAGCGTTTGCTATCGGCGTTGAGGGAGACTTGCACAAGTGGCTATCCCCGTTCCTGATCCACATCCCCAATCTGATCTCTTCTCTACAATGTGGACGTGCTTTCCTACCACTTCAGTGCAAGGACCTCGCGCGACGTTTGATATTGGAACGCACTCAATCGCCATGAGCATTCAAAACGCAGATGACTTCCCGGAATACGAGGTGTGTGTGTGTGTGTGTGGATATCTTCGTGTTCATGGCGAGTGCGTGCAGGATGCAATGATGCCCACGTATGCATGTGTCCCAGAGAGACAGAGAGCGGGAGAGCGAGGGGGAGAGAGAGTGTGTGTGTGTGTGTGTGAGTGAGTGAGTGAGTGAATGTGTGTGCGTGTGTGTGCGTGTGCGTATTTTATGACCACAATTCGAAAGAACACCAGATACACACCAGTGCAAACCATGTTGCGCAAGCCTGCCTGCCTGTCTGTCAACTACCGCGGTGCAGTGCACACTCTCATAGCTTGCCTTTACCTTGCACACACACACACACAACGCACTTGTCGAGTCCACAGATTACCGTGGCGGAGTGGGCCTTGGATCTCTCGCAGACCACCACCCTCCCAGACTACCCCGTTGTTGAAGAGCGTGTTCTTTCCAGCTTCACAGCCACAGGACTTCAGCCCGGTCGACGCTTTGAGGTGCACGCAACACAAGGCACTTAGACACTCACTCAAGCACCCCTTCCAAATGAGAAGAAGAGAATCACGCGCACAAATGCATGCACAACACCACGCACACGCACAACACAACACAACACACACTGTGCCTTTGTTTTCGACTGCCACGCTGTCTGTGCGCCATTACACCAACGAAGATGTCCCATAGGGAACGAAGCTGCAACTCACACAAAGCAACCGCATCTACGCTGTCGCTTGGCTGTCGCTGGATCTTGCCAGGTCATCATCACGCCAGTGGACGACAATGGCGTGCGGACGACCGATCTTCAGATGGTTGCGGGCACGAGCGAGGGCAGCATCCAGACATCCTGCGGATGTCGCGCGAGCGAGCCCTCGGGGCCGCCCTCTGACTTTGAACTCCGCCAGCACCGCGGACTTGTCTTCTTCTCGTGGACAGACCAGAGCTACTGCGAGTCCGGCTTCAACTTCTTCCGTGATGGCGTCAGCATGGCCTCCTCGTACGATATTACCTCTGCGGAAGAGTGTGGTGCGCGCCACGACCCCCAATTGATCTACGACAACCTCGCACTCACCAAAGACGGTTCGTCGTCAGTGTGGCAAGGAATGGAGTAGACTGGGTTTGCGTGGATGCATGACAATGTATGTAGGGTGTGAGAGACGAAGGGTATGTATGTGTATATGCGGGAGTGAGTGGGAAATGAAGAGTGTGTCCTTGTGCCCGTGAGAGGGGCATAAACCACGTGTTGCTTGCGCAACTCATGGTTCTGTGTATCGTTGTTGAAGCTCATCAAGCCCAATTTTATGTGTACACACCTCCTGTGCGTGATTGCCGTACCAATAGCTCACGCATTGCACATACACACTCGTCCGTGCACGTTTCAGACATTTACAAGCCCCTTGATGATGGCACAAACTACAAGCTGCCAGAAGGTGTGTGCAAGTGTTGATGTGCGTGTGTATGCATGCGTATATGCGTGCAGGCCCGCCTGTACTTGCATGGGTGTGTGCGTGCGCGTCTGTGCCTGTGCACCTGTGTTTGAATGCCAGTGGTCTGATTTACGCTGTTCTTGTGGTGCGCTTGTTACTGTGTCGGTGGACTTGCATACCTGTTCACCCGTCAGTGGTAAACTCAACATACATTCTCTGTACCACCCTTGGCTCCCGCATGGTGTAATTGTAGGCATTTTTCCGCTGCGCGTTCACACCGCAAAGAGCGGGAGCGATGAGCGGTTTGCGTATCCCTCCGAACTTGCAGTTGGTGCGTGCATTGAGGCGTTGTTGCTGTTGTTGTTGTTGTTCTTCTTCTTCTTGTTCTTGTTCTTCTTCTTGTTCTTCTTGTTCTTCTTGTTCTTGTTCTTCTTCTTCTTCTTCTTCTTCTTCTTCTTCTTCTTCTTCTTCTTCTTCTTCTTCTTCTTCTTCTTGTTCTTCTTCTTCTTCTTGTTCTTCTTCTTCTTCTTCTTCTTCTTCTTGTTCTTGTTCTTGTTCTTGTTCTTCTTCTTCTTCTTCTTCTTCTTCTTCTTCTTCTTCTTCCGCCTGCGCTTCGCGCACTCGACTTGAATCATCCCGTCATCGCGCCATTTTACTAACACAACTCTTTCGCCTCACAACCCGTCTTGCACTCTGCTTGAACCCACACAATAAACAACAGGAGAGCACTTTACGTCGACGTCGACGTCTTCATCGTCGTCGACCTCGTCGTCCACGTCCACATCTACGTCGTCCTCCGTGACAACAACAACCTCAACCACCACCACGCCCACGCAGATGCCCAGTACTGTGCACGAGCATGAACTTGACGACGACTTTACGACCACAACCACGACGCCAATTGTCACAACCACAACCACGGTGGCGGAGGTGGAGAACGCCATCGCAGCTAACGCACCTGGTGTAACAGTGCGCGAGGAGCGCGTGTACCCGACCGGCACCCAGACGGCCGTTGCAGGCAAGCAGGAGTGCCTTGACCTCTGCGAGGAGCGCTCGGATTGGTGCATTGCCTTTGTCGTACAAAAGGCAAACAACGGGCAGTTGTGGTGCCACCAGCTGCGCGTGCTGCGCACCACGCACCTCGCGGATGACGACATGTGGGCAGACTCGTACGAAATGGTTCAAGTGGAAAACAGCGGCGTCGCAGGCTCATACCTGCTTGCCACGGGTACGGATGCGTGTGAGGCCCTTTGTTCCGCATCGTCCACCTGTGCAATGGTCCTGGCCGGCAGCGGTTTCTGTGCCCTGTCCGAGGGCATGGAGACTACCGCGACCCGCCCAACCACGTACCACAACAGCCTCGTCATCACATCCCAGAAGAAGCGCTACGTGGGCTCCGCACCCGGCAGCTACAGCAAGTATTGTGTCAGTGCCACGAATGCCGTTGACTACGAGACCAGCGGATACAGCTCAGCCCCCACGTGCACCGACCTGCAAATCGCGTGGGAGACGGTGGTGCGTGGCCAGATCACAATTGACTCGGACGAGATCCACCTCCCGGTCAAAGGCGTGCGCGTGGACGCGGCCATTGGCGACGTGTTCTCCACCACGCACTTCACAGATGAGGATGGCTTCTTTGAGATCCACGTCTATTCCACGGAGCTGTTCAAGCTGCGCGAGACCATGACGCTCAGCTTCTCCAAGACGTCTGGCGACATTGCACACACGTTTTCCTGCGGTGGCATCGCCTGCACAGAGCAGCACATCATCGTGGAGCACCTTCGGTTCGACCAGGAGGTCGCCGTCCGCGACACCACCTCCGTCCCGTTCTCTGGCCGCGTCACCATCAAGGGCACAGAACACCAAGGCTACTTCAACGGCTGCCCGCTGCGCGACGTAGAAGTCTGCCTGTATGACCGGCTGCACGGCAGCCGCACCCTTGGATGCACAATCACTGATGCCCAGGGCTACTACACGGCCGTCGCCGTGCTGGGCTCCTCTGTTGGTGTGCGCATCACCTTTGGCAACTCATCCCATTCGTTTGCGCGCGCAGACTACAGCCCGAATGCACCAAACGCGCCATCAGGCTTCTTCATCGCCACGAGCGCCTCCACGGGCCTTGAGACGCGCGAGGGCTTCTACGACATTGTCGATGACAAGATGTGGGAGAGCATCGACTTTCAAGATGTGACCACCGACGTGGTCACAGTTGACGTCGCAGGCGGGCTGTGCAACCGCACGCTGGGTCGCAGCATCCTGGAGTTCCGCTACGACAGCTGTCCCACGTGGGTGCGCACGGAGCAGACGTCTGAGCGCCTCTCCAAGTGGACGCTCCCGGCGCACATTATGACGGTGCGGTTCCAGCGGCTCGTCCGCGACGGTAACGTGCGGGAGGAGATGACGCGCTACTTCTCCGCCACGCTGGGCACGGCGCGGTCACAGCACGCCGACCTGCGCAACCCGCAGGACAAAAGCGAGGAGAAGAAGATGGTGCGCTTCGAGTACCACCCGCCCCCCACGCTCACGGTCGCGTTCGTCCCTGTCCTGCCGCACTCGTGCAACTACGCCGACGGCACGCCGTACACCGTGATGCAGCAGCGCACGCAGACGGTGGCCACCATCACCGTGATTGAGGACTTCGGTGCCGGCGTGGAGACGTGCGACATCGTGCCGGGCGCGCTGGAGATTGAGAACCAGCTCGGCGAATCCCCTGTCCGCGCCAAGCAGATTACTGGCATCTCAAAGTCTCAGCGCGACCTTCTCACCGCCTGCTATGACACATGCAGCAGGGAAGTGCAGCACGAGCAGCGCGTGAATGGCGAGAACGTGGAGCAGTTCAACGCCCATGTCGCGCTAACGCTGCTCACCGGCGGCCCAGAGCTCAACGCAGAGGCCGTCGATCCCGACCACCCGCACACCAAGCTGTTCCGCGTCACCATGCACAACCTGCCACACGACCCCGTGACCGTCTACGAGAAGGTGGTCGTCGTGGGACAACAGGCGCGTGGTGCATCTGCGTCAATTCCCTTTCCCCGCTACAAGCCGCTTCTGGTCGTGCAGGATCCACCCGGTGGGTTGTCCTCAGCCACGTACTCCAACACGTATGCCAACTACAAGATCTCAAGCAGCAGCTATGAGTCATATGGGGGATTCCAGGTTGCGGCGGAGCTCACGCCGTTCCGCGCGGACGCTGAGCTCGACCTGTGTGTTGGCCTTGGGGCCGCCAACTGCATCAACCTCGTCAAGACCAAGACAGCGCCGGTCACCATTCAAGCCGACAACACCAACCTGTGGGGTGGCAAAGACGCTGACGATAACCGCGACACGGAGCAGGTGTGGTCGTTCAGCATCGACGTGGCCACGTCTGACGAGCCCATGCTTGCTGGGGAGCAGTCCGACATGTTCCTCGTGCCCTCGCTCAACGTCCTCTTCCTGGACACGGACGTCGTCGACTTTGACGCCAGCACATGCGAAGTCACCAAATCGCTCAAGACGACCTGGTCCCTGGAAGCGGAGGAGAACAAGGAAGTTATGACCTGGCTCTCTGTCTTTGAAATTGAGAACAAGGAGATCCCAGACTTGAAGCAGCGCCTGAGCGCAACGCAGACCGAGCTTGCCACAGAGGAGGACGATGAGCTGCGCACTGAGCTGCAGGCAAAGGAGGCGGAGCTGCGCAACGCCCTCGACGCTTGGAACACCACGCTCCACCGCAACAGGGAAGTGCGCAAGAGCGCCGGCGAAGGCTCGCTGAAGAAAGTACAGTCACTGTGGACCGTTGGCGACAGCCTCCAGCATGCGAACACGGGGCACATTGAGGATGGAATGAATAAGGGCGTTGCATTTGCTCCGCATGATCTGATTGAGAAGGCCAAGAACACGGACGGCACCGACACGACCGAGGAGGACTACGAGAAGCTGCGTGCAATCAATGCCATCAAGTTTGCTGGTGGTGGGGCCACCTACAGCTTCGCCTATGATACCAGCTTGGACAAGTCTGTGACAGATGCTTCTACCCATAAGCACACACTCGAAGGTGGCATCACGTTCAACCACGAGTTCAGCTTCTCCGGCTTTGGTGCAGATTTTAGCCTTACCACGTTGGGCTTGGGCGAATGGGAACTCTCAGATGAAACCACAGAGGGCTACCAAAAGGAAACATCAATTAGGTGAGAGCACACCGTCCTCGCTTAAGACAGATGATAGCACAACTTTGTTGTTGTGCTCAGAGTCCATTTTCCAACCACCAACAGACACAGGGCCCATGCGCTCTTGTCCGCCGTCATATGTACACGCACACGCACATACACACGAGACATGTCACACGCTTACGCTTTCGTGCTGATGACACGCTCCTTGTACTAACCAACTTGCCGGGTTGCATTACTTACTGACACATCCACATGTGGCGTGGCTTTCCAATTGACACCCCTTCTCTACCACTGCGCAGCTTCACGCTTGGCGACGCTGATCCATTGGACATCTTCGACGTGGAAGTGTTTCTGCATCCGGATTTTGGCACCTTGGTGTTCCACACCACGTCAGGCCAGTCGTCGTGCCCGCATGAGGAAGGCACACTTGCCTTGGAGAACCCGGGCATCAGCATTCTCAAGCAACCAGCTGCACCGGTGTTGCCCAATGAACCAGCGGTGTTTGAGGTGCTCCTCAAGAACGACGGCCCCGGATACACAGACCTCAATGTGAGTCACACCGACCCTGGTTGTGCAATCCTGTGTTCCTTGTGCGTGTGCAAGTGGTCTGATTTGGGGTTTGCTTCATGCGATCAAGTGTGTTTGTCATCCTGTGCCACCCTGGCCTTGTATCATCAACCCTCACGCGCGCGCATGTGTGTGTGTGTGTGCTTGTGCTTCGTGTTGTCTGCAGCTCTTCAATCTGAACAGCGAAAACCAAGACGGCCTGACGATTTTGGTTGACGGCCGATCGCTCGCGAGCCCGATTGACTATGAGGGCTTCCCCGTCGGTGCACGACATGCCACGATCATGATCACGCGTGGGCCAAGCAAGTACAAGTACAACCCTGTGGCAGTGGGTTGGCGCTCCCTCTGCGAAGCAGACAGGCACCCCGACAACGGCTATCTCAACGACGAGGTGACAACCGTCGAGTACGTGTATCTGGAGGCCGAGTTCCTGCAGCCGTGCAGCCCCGTGCAGCTTGTTGGCGAGATTGGCGAGACGGGCAAGTTTGTCATCAACAAGGCTCTGGATGATCGCAGCAGCCGGCCGGGAGAGCTGCGCCTCGTGGCCTTCAACCCCGATTTCGCCACCCGCAAGTGGACGGAGGACGATCGGCTCGAGGGCGTCTATGTCGAGTACAAGCCAACCGCATCGCACGTCTGGCTGCAGGCGCGAGACAAGCAGGGCGAGGCCCTTGACATCAAGAACATGGAGAACGAGTTTGGCTACGTGACCATTTGGTGGGACGTGTCCGCCATCACCAACGGCGACTACGACCTGCGCATCCGCGCTCAGTGCACCGCTTCCATCAACGAGGTCCCTGATGGCATTGACGAGAACTTGTCCCTTGTGGCGTTGGGCGTGGTGGACCGTGAGGCGCCCGTGGTTCTCGGCTACCCTGAGCCGGCGGATGGGCAGTACCAGCCCGGCGATGACATGGCGGTGGAGTTCGACGAGCCCTTGCAGTGCACCAAACCCCACTTCTTCCGCGTGCTCATGACGGTGGACGGCCTTGATCGCGAGTTCAACAACGACAACATGGTGATTGTGTGCGAGAACCGCCGCATCACCATGTCCCTGCGTCGCGGGTTTGACTGGGACGACATCAGCGGACGCGCTGCGCGCCTGCAGTTGTCGACAGTGGAGGACCTGAACGGCAACGCCATCCAGCAGGATGTTGTGCACGAGTTTCAGTTCGCCACCGTGGAGTCAGCTGCCCTCGCAGCAGAGGTCAGCGGCATCGAGCTTGCTATGCCATTCCAGGATGCGTTCCTCAGCACACAAACCACCGAGTTTGCGGAGGCGGCCGCTCGGATTTCAGCCGATATTGCCGCTGCAACGGGAGTCGACAGCAGCCGCGTGCGTGTGCGATCCCTGACGCCGACGAATCCATATGACTTTTCTGCCGGGACGACCGTCAGCCTCTACCTGCTTCCGGAGGACGCAGCGACGCGTCGCCGACGTCGCCGCGATGGTGACACAATTCCGTCTCCAACACAGCTAGCAAACCTGCTTGTTGGCTCGGTTCTTCGCAATGCCACCTCTCTGGATCCGCAGAACGTCCTCTTCAATGTTTCCCGCAACGCGCAGGCTGAGGTGGCGGTTGTCACTGACAACAGCTCGCCCATCACGACGACCGTTCCTCCCACCGTCACAGTTGACACCGGTGCCAGTGGCACCGCAACGATGACGGAAGTCAACAACAAAGTGTCGTGTAAGTCATCGGTGGCACGCGTTTGTGTGTGCTGTGTTTGTTTGTGTGTGCTGTGTTTGTGTGTGTGTGTGTGTGAAATTGTGTGTGTGTGTGAAATTGTGTGTGTGTGTGTGTGAAATTGTGTGTGTGTGTGTGTGTGTGAAATTGTGTGCTTGTGTGTGTATATGTATGTATGTGTGTATGTATGTATGTATGTGTGTATGTATGTATGTATGTATGCATGTGTGTGGGGGGGCGGTGTGTGCAGCTGCGTGTTTGCTTCTGTGTTGTGTGTGTGTGTGTGTACGTGTGTGCAGCTGCGTGTCTGTGAAGGTGCAGGCGCGCGTTGGTGAAGCTGTGCGTGCGTGTGAGTGCATGTGTATTGATCGATTGCTCGGCTTCCTGTTTGTCTTGAAAGGACATCAAATGGTGATTGGATGGTGTACTGTGCCACTCACGTTTGCCTTTCCTCTCATGGATGCATGTGTAACCACAACACACAGATGCCATTCTGGTCTTCGTTCTGGTCGGCATCGGCCTTCAGCTACTCTTGCTGTTGCGGCCTTTGAAGTCGAAGAAGTACAAGGTGTCAACCGGTGCGCACTACCAGCAAGATGCGGGCAACGACATGGGCGCGCGGCCTTCTTTCGATTTGTCTGCGAGCACTCAACAGACTCAACGGCCAAGTGTGTTCTTTGAGGAACACATCCCCGCACTGTCGCAAGTGTAAAGGAGAGCCCTTTCTTCTCGTTGTTGTTGTTGTTGTTGTTGTTGTTGTTGTTGTTGTTGTTGTTGTTGTTGTTGTTGAGGTGGTCGTGGCGGTGCTTTCTTGCTGTGTGGTGGTCATGATTTCTTTCTTGTTCGTTGGTGGTGGTACCTTTCCTGCTGTTGATGACGGTCTCATGGTGAGTCGGCCGTGCATGCCCACTTGCCGTTCGTTGCACATGCCGTGAATGTCTTCTGTTTTCTTCTTGTTGTCGCGTCACCATCGTTTGCAATGTTGATTTCTCCTCGGACCACCCAGCTGCTTGGTGGCGTGAACGTGGCGAATACAACAATTCCATCCAACCGCGCTCCTCAGTAGTTGTTCTTGTTGTCTCTTCAGCGGAGCACGTCTCGTGAAACGAGTGAGCAGCTACTCGTCATGTCAGCACTGTGAGCGGCAAAGAACAGAGAGACAGACCAAGCAAAGGAACAACGTGTAGAGAGGGCTTGGGCTTGAGGCAGCCCCAGGCTTTGGAGAGAATGCAGAAGCAGTTGCTGCTCTGAGTGTGATCGAGCAATCGTTCACATTGCTCACACAAACAAACACACCCCTCCTCTCATTGGAGTGGCAAAAGTTCTGTTGACTGCACACGAAGAACCCGCGTCAAGAATTACAACAATTGGTTTCCATCCACCGCATAGAATTCTGAAATGAAACTTGGGAGGTTGGTGTTGAACATACTGTTGGAACAAAAGAGAAAAGAAGGCTGTGTCACATGAGATGTGACCCAACAGTATGCCGAAGAGGGCTCAGGCTACCCCCTTCTCCTCTTCACCAACGGAGAAGCAGACGTCAACGCCGGCCAAGGATGGGCCCGGCTCAAGGACCACTACGCTTCGCAGGACCGCCTCCGCATCGCAGAGCTCAAGGAGGCGCAGCTTCACGTCCCCTGCGGCAACCTCGCCCGCTTCTTCGAGCGACACATGGAGCTGCAGCAGCAGTTGCAAGACGCAGGCGTGCGCCAGGACAACGAGGACCTCTTCACCATCGTCTGGAAGCAGCTGCCACGCTGGACAGCCCCGCTCACGCTTCCCTACTTTGCCAGTGGCCGCTTTCCCTCCCTCCTCGAGCTCAGCATCAGGCTGCAGCAGCTGGAGCAGCAGATGCGTGGTTCACGCACACAGCCGCAGGCAGGCGGCTTCATGGCAAGCGCACCGCCACGCAGAGGTGGAAGACGCGGCTTCTCCAACAACAGCAACAACCACGGACGCCAGGGACGCAACAATGGCAACAGCAACGGCAACAGCAACGGCAAAGGGCGCCGCTTCCGTGGCAACTGTCACTACTGTGGCAAGTATGGACACCGTGCAGCAGAGTGTCGCAAGAAGCAACGCGACAACGGAGCAACAGGCTTCACTGCACAGACACAGCATCAACATGATCAAGGCGCAGCAACCTTCGTCGCTGCCACAGCTACTACACCCACGCAGCTGCATGACCCACTCACGTGGCTTGCAGACACGGGTGCTTCACACCACCTCACCTTCGTCAAGGACGCCTTCGTGGAGCTGACACCGCACCTGCAACAGCACCATCCACGCCACATCACTGCGTTTGGCGGCACACGTGTGCCTGTGCGCGGTGTTGGCTCTGTGCTGTTGCATGCACGCACGACGAGCGGAGCTACGATGCAGATTGTGCTACAGGAGTGCCTCTACGTGCCCGAGGGCCAGGCCAACCTCATCGCCCTCGGTCGTCTGACCAGGGACAGCAGCGGCAGGCCAACGGGCCACTCGCAGCGTGATGGCGCTGATGGGCACTACGTGCGCTTCAGCCACGGAGCCGAGGTCAAGCTGAAGGAGCGCAACAGCCTCCGGTGCTGGCCCATTGTTGCTGTTGGTCCATCCACGGCACACGGACTCACCGCTGATGCCTGCAAGCAACCACAGCAACCCACAGCAGCTCCTGCAGCCCAGAGCAAGGCACACACACCATCGATGCATGAGGTGCTTGGCCACCGCAACGACAACGACGTGCAGCAGTACTGCAAGCTGATGGGCATCGACGATCGCAACGCCATCAGCAGCAAGCAGTGTACAACGTGCGCAGTGACCAAGAGCACTCGTCACAGCGTCAGCAAGCACGCGGAGCGCACACAGGTGCCCGGCGAGCGCATCCACGCCGACATCGTCGACTGGACCGCGGACTCACCCACGGGCAAGCGCTGCAGCCTCGTCATCGTCGATGAGGGCAGTAAGCTCTTACATGCAGTCCACCTCAACGCCAAGAAGGACGCAGTTGCCGCGTTCCAGTCTTTCCTGCGCGAGACCAAGCTCCCCATCTCGCCCACAACAACAGCACTCCAGACGGATTCCGATGCCATCTTCCTCGGAGCTGACTTCCAGGCCATCGTCAAGAAGCACCTGAAGCAGCACCAGCAGTCCCCGCCGTACACCCAGGCGCAGAACGGCATCGTCGAGCGACAGGTGCGCACCCTCTCCGACATGGTGCGAGCCATGATCACGGGTGCAGGCCTTGACGCATCGTACTGGAGTCTCGCCTGCAACCACGCCCTGCACATCCTCAACAACATGCCTCGCCCTTCCCTCCACGGCAAGACACCGCTGCAGATTGTCACGGGCTCGCTGCCCAAGCACGTGCCGCAGCTGCACGTCTTCGGGCAGCCGGCCGTCGTCCACATCAGCACACAGCGCGGTCGCCTGCAGCCCAAGGGTCGTCGAGGCATCTACGTCGGCTACAACAGCAGCAGCAACAGCCACCTCGTCTACTTTGAAGACACAAACACCGTTGTGTCCTCCATCCACGTCCGCTTCCTTCCCTTCTCCAAGGCCGCTGATGTCGTGGATGAGGGGGAGGAGCAAGTGCAGACATCCACGACATCGTCCATGCTCCAGCTTCCCAGTGCACGTGACAGCAGCAACAGCACCACTGACGGCGAGCCACCAACGGTTCACATCGACGAGGAGCAGGACGATGATGTCGAGACAGACTTCCTGCTCACGGACTTTGACGCCAACAGCAGCAGCGACACCAAGGACGCCAACTACGATCCAGACACAACAGATGCAAGCGACACCGAGGCAGGCGCGTTCACAGCAAGCAGCAGTGGCGACACCAGCCTCACGGAGCCTGCAAGCATCAAGCAGGCACTCAAGAGCCAGCAACGCAAGCAGTGGACTCAGGCATGCTTGGAGGAGATCGGAGCGATGGAGCGCAACGGCGTCATCAAGCTCATCCCACGCAGCGCAGTGCCACGGCAGCACACGCCTCTCAAGTCGCGCTTCGTCTTCAAGGTGAAGCGTGATGCTGAGGGCGCGCCGACGCGCTTCAAGGCACGCTGGGTCGCCAAGGGCTTCAGCCAGCGACCGGGCATCGACTTCGACCAGACCTACGCCCCAACACCAGCAGCCAAGACCATCCTCACCGTGCTCGCCGTCTCCCTGCAACGACAGCACCAGCTGCACCAGCTCGACTTCAAGTCGGCTTACCTGCAGGCTGATCTCAAGGAGGAGCTGTACATGGAGCTGCCGCCGCACTTCACCGACATCGGCGACGGCGCTCAACGCTACGCGGGCAAGGTGTGCCGGCTGCTCAAGCCGCTCTACGGCCTCAAGCAAGCTGGCCGTGCATGGGCCAAGAAGCTGCATACCTTCCTCAAGACCAACGGATGGGCGCAGAGCCACGTCGACGCTTGCCTCTTCACCAAGCTCCACGACGACGGACAGCGCACATGGATCATCACGTACGTCGACGACCTCATCATCAGCGGCAGCAGCGAGCGCCACATCCGTGCCTGCAAGCAGCAGATCAAGGAGAGCTTCGAGGCAGAGGACCTGGGCCCGCTCACCTGGTACCTGGGTCTTCACCTGACGTCACCAGCTGACGGGGTGTTACACATTGCGCAGACACAGGCCATCAACGACATCGTCAACGACTACAACCTGGCAGCCGCAGCCAGCGTGTCCACGCCCATGCGTGTTGGCATCGACGCCTCCAGCATCAGCGAGCAGCCCGACCGACGCCTGCCTTTCCGCAACCTCGTCGGCTCGCTGTTGTACCTGGCCAACCGCACGAGACCAGACGTCAGCTTCGCGTGCGGGCTGCTCTGCCGTTACATGGACCGTTACACGACGGTCCACTGGCAGGCAGCCAAGCACGTCGTGCGGTACCTGAAGGCGACGAGCGAGCACGGCCTGCTCTTCAAGCGACGCAGCGGCACGCGCAAGGACCAGCCGCTGGACCTTGTGTGCTACAGCGATGCCAGCTTCGGCACAGACCAGCTGACGGGCCGCTCCACGACGGGCTTTACCTGCTACATCAACGGCTGTCTTGTGTCTTGGAGCAGCCGGCTGCAACCCACGGTTGCGCTGAGCACCGCCGAGGCCGAGTACATGGCCATCTCTGCTGCAGCGCAGGACGTCGTCTTCCTGCGGCAGCTGCTCATGGACCTCGACGAGCCCGAGGCTGGAGCCACCAAGATGCTGACAGATAACCAGGCGGCCATCGCCATCGGCAACGACCACGTCACCAAGCCGCGCACGAAGCACATCCGGGTACGCCACCACTTCGTGCGGGAGCTCATCGCCGACGGAACCATTGTGCTGCAGCACTGTCCCGGCACGCAGATGGTTGCCGACGCGCTGACCAAGGCACTGGACAAGCAGACCTTCGAGCAGCACCTTCCACGACTGGTGGGAACCTCGACGGCTGAGACGGAGCAGAGGAAGGCAGTTGAGGGGGAGTGTTGAGAGTCAGTGAGTTTCTGTTTTGTGTTGAGTCCTTCCTAATTTGCCTTCTCATGTCGTGGTTTTGTCTTGTTTGCCAACAACACCTGCTTTGTGGTTTTTCCGTTGGCAAACATTCCTTCCTCTCTGCTGGCATGCATGTGTGCCAACTGCCTCTCCTCTCCTCCTTCCCCTACACACGTGAGTTGTGTGCCATTGGTGTGTGTGCATGCTCGCCATGCTTGGCAAATGCTATGTGTGCGTGCCATGCAGTGTTGTAAAGTGTTGTCTGTTGTGTATGCTTGCCTGCAAGCATTCATGCCATGCCTAGCATTGCTCTGCGCGCATGTATGCATGCTGCTCATTGTTTAGATTGCTTGTGTTCGTGCACACTCTAGCGTTGTTGACTGTGTGTGCACTTGTCTTGTGGTTGTTTGAGCGTGCTGCCCGAGTTGATTTGGCAGCCGCTTGTTGTGCTTGTTCATTCTCCTTGTGTTCTTGTTTGTTGCGTTTGTCTACAGTAAACACACACACACACACCTGTCGTGTCTCAACAAACAACAACAACAACAACAACAACAACAACAACAACAACAACAACAACAACAACAACAACAACAACAACAACAACAACAACAACAACAACAACAACAGCCCAGACAGGCAGGCAGGCAGAACAAGTCATATTGGCGACGGCAGCCAATCAGTGCAACGCATCATGGCATCAGTATCGCCCATTGCGCTTGTTTTGTTTGCGGCTTCCTGTCTTGCGACCCTTCTTTGGCTTGGATGATGCTGGCTCCTGCGCAGCGCGAGTGAGAGGTTGACTCAGGACTTGATCAGCAGACTTTGGGGGCTCCTTGTTGGCTTCCTTGAGTGCTTCTTGAGCAGCCTTAGCTTCCATTTCACGACGTTGCTGGGCTTGAGCAGCCTGTACGGTTGAGTGCGAGAAGAACCGAGCACACAAAGAGCGAGATTGAGGCTTTATGTGCATGTAGGGCGAAAGGACGACGTTGCATGCCAGCGCGTTGCTGTGTTCTTTCTGTGTGTCTGTCTGCTCATGTGCGTGCGCCCCGTGCACTCAGCCACACACACACACACACACACACACACACACACACACGCTCTCTCTCTCTCTCTCTCTCTCTCTCTCTCTCTCTCTCTCTCTCTCTCTCTCTCTCTCTCTCTCTCTCTCTCTTTCTGCGGTTGTAACGTCCCAATCTCAAACCCCAACCTTAAACGAGGACTGCAGCTCCTCCCAGAACCCTTTGCCGCTTTGTTGCTTTGGAGGGTCAGGGTGCTTCACCTACTCGTGGTGCAAAACAAACGAGGACACACGCGTCAATGCGAGAGTGATGGGCGGAAAAGCATCCAGCACACACACACATACATACATACATACATACATACATACATACATACATACATACATACATACATACATACACACATACATACATACATACATACATACATACATACATACATACATACATACATACATACATACATACATACATACATACATACATACATACACACATACCATGTCTGGAATCTTGAAGAGGCGCTTGACTGGTGGGGTGTTCAAGACGGCAACTTGTCCCAGCGTGAAAATGTTTGACGTAATCCAGTAAGCGTGGATTCCCTGTCTCACAGTTACAGGACCACACAGTGGGGGGGGGGGCACGGAGGCAGTAAGCAAGCACAGCCATTGTCGGTCATCAAGCTGTGCTGTGCCAATGAGTGCACAATGGTGCAGCATGCAGAGGGCCAAGTTGGCCAAGTGGTACAGGGCTGTGGCAAGCCATTAACAAACCATTGGCAGAGTCGCTGTGACGGCGCCTGTAACGAGGGCGAGGCCCCGGAATACTTTCTTCATGGTGGGGCTCATGGCCGTGCCCATTCTGGAGCTCAACTGCATGCAGTGCAACGACAGCGGTCGCAATGGTCAGTTGTGACACGCGCAGCAACAACCAACAAAAAAAAAAAAAACCGAAGAAGAAAAGAAAGGTGGCGCAAGGACCAGAAACGAGCACAGAAACCTAAGGTGACGACCAAATACACTCACACATGCGCTCATGACAAAATTTACACGCGCACACATACACACATACACACACACACGCACACACGCACACACACACACACACACTCACACGCACACACATACACACACGTATCAGTGTGACTGAATGCATGTCTCCTCACCTCAAACGACAACAGCATCGTCGTTGCAGTCACAACCGGCAGGACATACGTGGGGTCTGCGGCCGTCAAATCAGTGAAGAAGCTGTATCCGCCAGTCTTGATGCTGGCAACCTTCATCCACCGTCACGCAAGGGGGTTGTGGCACACAGAGTTAACAGTGGTGTGTTCATGAAGCGTGGTGCAACAAGTATCAGCATGCAGAAAACCGGCATGCAGAGTGCCTCGTGCATCCATGCACGATCGCATCCAAGGAACAAAACACAGCACAGCACATGCACATGT